GTTATTGTATATGCATTAATTATAGGAAAAGGCATTTATGTATAAGGCATATTTTTTCCTACATATATCTCATAGTCAATATTCTTGTGAAAGAAGTAAAAAATTTATATAAATAATAGAAATAATTTAGATTTTAATTTGGATAGTGTCAGCTTGAGGACAGAAATACACACTTGGGTTTAAGGGAGAAACAGTGGTTATTCACCCATCATCTCATCTGTTTTGCATGTTCCTCAGTTCCCTGGAAGTTAGAAAGAACCATGTGATTAGCACTGGCCAATGAAAAGTGAGCAGAAGTAACACACATTACTACTATCAATGAATGATACTATACTATAATACATGAATTTTTACAATGAGCATGTATTTTTTTATAATTAGAAAAAAATGTTTTCTATTTTGGAGAAAAGAATTATGGGTAAGTGGAAAATTAATAATTTCTTCCTCCATTAAAACCCGCATAATAACCCTTACCACAAACTATGTCTATCAGCATCCTTACTAGTTTTTCAAGGGTTGAGTTTCTTGAGTGGAGCTGCTGGGTAGTAATTCTAGAAGCAACCATAATGTGGAGGCATATAAGAGGGACAGACAAACATATGTTGCATATTAAAAAATCTTACCTATGCAAATCGATATATCATCACTGACATTCTGAGATTTTTGCTTAAGATTCAAATGGTATTCTTTTGAGCTAGGAAACAATTCACAATATGTTTTATGAAGCAGGTTGTATCACCCAACCACCGAACCAGAAAAGACGCTGCCAGAATAAAATCATCAAAGAAACCCAAAATCGACAGACCAAAATCCATCATGAATACAGATAGACACAAATGTCCCTATACAATGCACATTACTGAAAGGACAAGAAAGACATATGGTGGTAGGAATTCATGTAGAATAAATTACATGACAAAATTCAACACCTATTGAAAAAAAAAAACCTCTCAGATAGGTAGGACCAGGGAGTGTTAAGAATTAAATTACATCCCCCGAAGACAAGTATAGGTTCAAACATCCATATCTAAGAATAAGATCTCTCTCATCAGAAATGGCATTGTTAGGATGTGATTACCAAAGATGGCATCATAAGGGAATAGGGTGAGCTCACAATTCAGCGTGGCTTGTGTCCTTATAAGGAGGTCAGGGCAAGTTTGATTCAGTGTGACTCATGTCACCCTAATGGGAGTCTGTAGCAAAGTAACTTCAATAGTGTAGAGAATGCTGCTGCTGTGCCTCTCCATCCCCACCCCCTCTGTCAGTGATGTCACAATGTTACATGTGTACACAGTGTGCTCAATACCATAAAATAAAGTTGGGGGTTTCTGCTACATTATTCTCTTACATCTTATAGAAAACAGAAGTGGCACTAGCTTTTATAATTGTCATAGATTTGCTTTACCAGAGATCTTTCTGTCTTCACTGAAATCTGAGTACCTAATCCAATGTCCTTCAGGTCAACCCAAAGGACTATCCTCACACCGAACCCATCTAGTGGGGAACAACTCCATAAGGAGGAGGTCAGGCCATGAGGCTGCAACCTCAGGGATGATATGTGTACTTTAAGAGTGCTTCTCCAGCATGCTCAAAAAACTGGTACACTTCTGAGCAATGTTCACACACAAACACACACTCACATGAGTATATTTGTCAAGCTGGGAACCATGGCCTAAGCTTGTGTTTTAATTAACTTTATCATCACTGTGGCTCAGGCACCCAACTGGCAAAACTTAAAGGAGGAAATGTTTACACAGGGTCAAGTTTTCAGTGGTCTCAGTCCATAAGTTTCTGATTTTATTGCTCTGGGTCCAAGGTGAAGCAGTCCATCATGGGGGAATGGCCCAGAGGAGGAAAACTTCTCTTCTCAGGGCAGCAAAGAGGCAGAGACAGATGCAGAGAGAGAAAGAGGGTAAGGCAATGGTTACAGGGATGAGGAACCCTTCCAGGACATGACCCCAGTGACCCAATGCCTAGAGTAAGGAGCCATGTCCCACCTGCCTAAAGTAACCAGCAAGTCAGTCCATTCAACCTAAGGTGGACTGAAGGTTACAGCTATCCCAATCCAACCATTTCACCTCTTAATATCCCTGCACTAGCACAGAGGCCTGTGGGTCCCCCCACCTCACATCCAATCTGTAACAGACTCTAATTTTCTCTACTCAGGACACTGAGGCAGGAGGATCATGCATGCCTGCCTGACCTGAGCAACTGAGAGAGAGAAAAAAAAAGTCTGTGGAAGTACCTGAGTGGTAGATTACTGGCCTGACATGACCAAGGCCCTGGCTTCCATGGCCACTATGTCAAAAAAAAAACCACAAAAAACAAAATCAACACACAAAAATCAGGTCTTGAGAACATGAGTTCAACCCTAATGTTCCCTTCTGCCATCATGTGAGGATACAGCAACAAGGTGTTTTGACCTTGGGCTTGCCAGTCTCCAGAACTGTGGGAAGCTGAGTTCTATTGTTAGTAAAATACCTAGTCAAAGGGGTTTTGATAACAGCAGTAGGAAGGCACTCAGGTGTTTGGGAAGGCCTCCATTTCTTCTCCTAGTGGGAAAGACACTTTTGATGGTTCTAGGATTGTCGGCTTCCATATTTGATCCCTCATCACTTTGAACATATCAACCCACTGCCTTTTGCATTCCAGGGTCTCTAGTGGGAAATCTGATGAGAACCTTGTGGGGAAATGATGATGAATGTTCCCTCCCTGTCAACCGTTAATGCCTAGCTCTAGAGCATCTTAGGGAGCAGAGTGTTTTGTTATAGCATCTCGATGTGAGTGAAGCGCTACCATCCCTTGAATCCAATTCATTGTGAGTTGGAAGAAAGGGGAATTGAATATTTTGAGTGTAGATATGATGACGTCTTTAAAAGATGAGAGTCATTGCAGATTTTCAGACTCAAAATGAAAAGACCATTGAAGCATCCTACCAGTTTTAATCTCTAAACAGGTAAATTATCAGTCTCGTGCAATACTGCCACCAGAAGGGTGTCGTGCTTCCAGGGTCCTTTCCTAGCTTTATCTTGGAAGTCAAAAAGGTCCTGGAGGCCCCAAAGTGACATGACCACTGGGGGCTCTGCCAGGTATGACTGGGTCATTTCTTGCTCTGACCTCACAAGGAGCCACTGTGAGGGAATCTCAAAACCAGCCATATAAGAAGGTGGCTGTCGCTGGGTTTTTTGTCCATAAGTACAGGAAGCTCTTGGTGGTGACCTGTCGGACTCTCAGATATTTAACTTGTTTGGTGGTTGGTGGTTGGTGATTGTGGTGGTTTGCTGTTGGTGTTTGATTTGGGATTTGTTTGTTTGTTTGTTTTGTGTTTTGTTTTTTGGCTATTGTTTTTGGTGTTTTGTTTGAGTTTGTTATTTTCTTTTCTTAGCTAGCATCCTTAGTTGGTGTTCTGGCTTAGGGATGCACAGAGAGTGCAGAGAGAGCAGTGTAGTGGCTCAGGGGCCCAGCTCCTGCTAGGAGAAGGCCCTCAGGGACCATTATCGTGTCCTGAGGGACATTGGAGAGGGGAGCTTCGGAAAGGTGGTAATGTAAGGGACCGGCGAAACATCGGAGGAAGAGACCACCAAGAGACTGTCTCATGCAACAGCAAAAAGGGTTTATTTGGAGACCAGCATGCTGGGGCTCAGAGCCCACTAGAGCAAAGAGAGATAGAGCACTGGGAACAGCTTAAACAGAGCTTATATACTTTTCTTGGAGAGGGCAGGGAGGGAAGTTCATTGACGGGTCAGGGCGAGTGGGCAGTTTGCTTGCAATCGAGTGAGGGAGTGCATTCTGCAGTTTGGCAGTTGGGGACAGCACATTCTGGGAACAAGAGTAGCAAACAGTTCTCAGGATTTCAACAGTGTTTTGTTAAGCATACAGAAAAACGGAGTGACAAGTACCTATTTTATTAACCTTTCATTCCCCACTTCTTCTTCTGGCTACTTTTAATCATAAAAGTGATCATTGGGGGGGGGGTGTCACATTCTGTGTCTGCTAGTGGGGTATATTGTTGTCTGATTACCATAAGTTTGATTTGTCCAATTTGGGCTTGGAGAAAGGAAACTACACGGTTGAGCAAACAGGGTCCTAGAGTTAGCAACAATATAAGAATTATTAAAGGACTGGCCAGGGCTGATAAAAGCGTAGTTAACCAGGGGGACTGTGTGAACCAAGACTCATACCACCCTTTTTGGGTTTCTCTCTCTCTCTCTCTGACGCTCTTCAAGGCATCTTCTTAGTTTGCTCATAGATTCTTTTACAACTCCAGTATGGTCGGCATAAAAACAACATTTTTCCCTCAATGCAGCACAAAGGCCCTCTTCTCTCATGAAGAGGAGGTCCAACCCTCGCCTGTTCTGTAAAACAACTTCAGAGAGAGAAGTTAAAGATTCCTGCAAAGCTGTGATGGAGGTTTATAATATCTTTAAGTTTTGGTCCATTGCTGTTTCTAATTGGGTCATTTGTTGTGTCCCATGGACCAGGGCAGTGGTCCTTGTGCCCACCCCTGCAGCAACTCCTATTCCTAATAGGATGGCTAAAGTGAGGGATACAGGTTCCTGGCGGAACCGGATTGTATGTCCCCTTATTTGATCTTCAAATGAACCTGCGTTATGATAGAGCACTCTGGGAAACGTCTGCACCATTATACAATTAATCACATCTTTTGACCATTTTATGAAAACATAAATAATGTTTAAGTATATAGAATTATACTGTTTTAGGGACGGACAAGGCAAGGCACCTAAGATACAATCTGCTTAGCACCCTGAACCCTGAGCGAAAATGGTATACTGTCCTGGACTTAAAAGATGCTTTCTTTTGCTTGCCTCTGCATAAAGATAGTCAGTTGCTGTTTGCTTTCGAGTGGGTAGACCCAGAAACCGGAACGTCTGGTCAACTAACTTGAACCAGACTCCCACAGGGGTTCAAAAACTCCCCCACTCTCTTTGATGAAGCCCTCCACAGAGATCTCAACAACTTCAGAACTACGCACCCCGAAGTCACCCTGCTTCAATATGTGGATGACCTGCTACTGGCAGCCGATACCAAGGAAAACTGTGATTGTACGGATTAGGTACTGTGGGGTGAATGTCCTGCACTCTGTTGTTGATCTCTCTTAGGTCTTGAACGGGGCGATAGTCCCTGGTTCCTGGCTTTTTTACTGGTAGCAGGGGAGTGTTCCAGGCCGATTGACAGGGCCTTAGGACCCCTAAGGCCAGATATTTCTGAATATGGGGCCTTATCCCATTTTTAGCTTCTTTGCTCAGAGGATATTGTTTAATATTAATTGGGGAGGCTGAGGTTTTTAACTCCACCATTATTGGAGGTTGTTTTACGGGTAGGCCTAACCGAGCAGTTTCTGCCCAGGCATCTGGGTAATCTGTTATCCATTTCTGAGATAGCTTGCCTGTTTGATCAGTCTTGGGGGGTGTGAAGAGTTGATGTTCATCTTCTACTGACATAGTTAAAGCCATGACTATAGGAGTTTTTACTGAAGGATTTAGAAATTCCATTTGGGGGCCTTCAGGGTTAAAAGTTATTCTGGCCTGGAGTTTGGTGAGCAGATCTCTGCCCATCAATGGGTCTGGGCATTCTGGGATCACTAGGAAGGACTGATGGACTTTTTTTTTTCCCCAGGTCCATGGTCCTCTTAGTTGTCCAAGCCCGATATTTACTGCCTTTAGCCCCTTGAACTAGAGACCTTTTAGTTGATAGAGGGCCCAATGGGTCCTTAAGGGCTGAGTATATTGCCCCTGTATCCACTTCAAAGTTTACTGGGGTCCCCTCCACTTCAAAAGTTACCCTGAGCTCGGGGAGGGGATCCGAGCCCCGACTTTCCTAGTCATCCTCCAGAGTTAGAATGGCTGGCTGGCATGGCTGTTTCTTTCTAGGGCACTCTTTGGCCCAGTATCCTTTTTCTCTACAGTAGGCACATTGATCTGAGGCCAGAGGTGGTGGCTTCTGGCGTGGGCCCAGGTATCCCTTTCTGTCTCCCTGTCTCTTAATTTCTGGCCTATTTGTTGTTGTGACCAGGACCTTAGTCAATGCCTCAGTCTGTTTTTTGCTTCTTTTATCCTCCCTTTACTCCCTTTCTTTCTCCCTCCTTTGTTCCTTCTCTTCCTCAGTTTCTCTCTTATAGTATACCTTCTCGGCTTCTCTGACTAAATCTCTCAGAGTCATATCTTGTAATCCATCTAAGCGTTGTAACTTTCTTTTAATATCCAGGGCAGCTTGCCCAATAAAGGCCATCATGACAGATGCCTTTTGATCCTCTGCCTGAGGATCAAAAGGAGTATATCTCCTATATGCCTCCATATAATTCTCTCCAGAAACATAGAGGGAGACTCATTAGGCCCTTGAATAATCTCTCTTACCTTGGCCAAATTAGTTGGCCGTCTAGCGGCTGCTCGGAGACCCGCTATTAGAGCCTGGCGATAAGTGGACAGATTCTCCCTACCTTCAAAGGTGTTGGGGGCCCAGTTGGGTTGGTTCAAGGGGAAGTTGTGTCGGTCACCCATCTGGTCCAAGGATATTTTTTTCCTAGCTTCCAGGAGGATTCTCTTTTGTTCCTCTGTCATGAAGAGAGTCCCTAGGAGTTGTTGGCAGTCATCCCAAGTAGGCTGGTGTGAAAACATCAATGACTTAATCAGACCTGTGAGCCAGGTGGGGTCCTCGGAAAAAGGGGGATTGTTATTTTTCTAGTTATATAGATCTGAAGAGGAGAAAGGCCAATACTGGTAAGCTTGCATTTCTCCATCATGGCCATCCTCTATCATTGGCCCATAAGGACGGAGGGGAAGTATCACGGGGGCTTCAGTGTTTTTAATCATTGGCTGCTGGGGAGTTCCTTTAGTTGGGCCAGCTTCCTCCAGGGGAGGAGGGGCTATGTGTGCCTTGGGGAAGTCATCTGGAGGGTACTGGGCCGGCTTAGCTTCCTCCAATGGTGGAGAGGCTGAGTCAGCAGCAGGAGAATCACTTAGAGGGTGTTGGGGGTTGGGGAACGAAGGCAGGAGATAAGGAAAGGGAGGAGAGTCCAGTAGAGTCAAATCTTGAGACTCAGGGAGAACAGAGGGTGGAGGAGGAGCAGAGGGTTTGAGAGATAGAATCGTGGGGGGAGGAGTAGGAGCGGGGACAGGGACAAGAAAAGGCTTCACCCATGGAGGAGGAGATTCACAGAGGTCCTGCCAAATTAAGATATACGGCTGTTGATCTGGATGGCTATGTGGCCCCGGCTGAAAAACAATATCTCTGACTTTTCGAATTAGTGGGGAGTAGAAAGATCCTTCTGGAGGCCATCCGACTCCAAAGGCGGGCCATTCTGAGGCACAGAGAGTCTGCCAGGTCCGGCGTTTTACTGAAAAAGAAAGATTCTGAGCCCTTAAGCGGACTTCAGTCCAGTGATCAAGGGTCAGGGACAGAGGCTTGGTATGGCTCTGTCCCATAATGAAAGTTACTTGAACAAAGACAGGGACAATACAAACGTGACACAAACACAGACACACACAGTAAACGTGTAACACAAGTTCAGAGGCAAAGATTAAAAACAGACAGTGAATTCAACCTGAGAGAAAGAATTGCCGGCAAGACCAGACGGGTTGGCAGCAGAATATACCAGATGAGGGCACTTCCGTCCCTCCCAGAGTCCTTCAAGGCGTCCCTTGAAGAACGTGGCCTGTGGCTTCAGGACACGTCTGTCCACCACCGCCAGGGGGAGCTCACGCTCTCCACTGGCAACCACACTCTGCCAACCCAAACCGGAAAACCAGAAAGGCTCTGAGAGCTCACGCTCTCCACTGAGCCAAAAACCAAGCTCTGAGCGATCGCAAAGGAAAAACAAGGAGAAGAAGGAGGAGGAGGAGGAGAAGAAGGAGGAGGAGGAGGAGGAGGAGGAGGAGGAGGAGGAGAAGGAGAAGAAGAAGCGCCTTACTTACCCCCTAAAGGAGTCTGTTGGGGTCTCCCTGTCCGGCGATGCGCACTTCCAGGCCAATGCACCAAATGTAAGGGACCGGCGAAACGTGGGAGGAAGAGACCACCAAGAGACTGTCTCATGCAACAGCAAAAAGGGTTTATTTGGAGACCAGCATGCTGGGGCTCAGAGCTCACTAGAGCAAAGAGAGATAGAGCACTGGGAACAGCTTAAGCAGAGCTTATATACTTTTCTTGGAGAGGGCAGGGAGGGAAGTTCATTGACGGGTCAGGGCGAGTGGGCAGTTTGCTTGCAATCGAGTGAGGGAGTGCATTCTGCAGTTTGGCAGTTGGGGACAGCACATTCTGGGAACAAGAGTAGCAAACAGTTCTCAGGATTTCAACAGTGGTACTAGCCCACCATCCCCTGACTGGGGCAGAGATGGCGGTAAAAGTTGTGCAGAAGTCAGAGGAAAACAAGTCCTTGCTATGTGAAAGGGATTGGTTGATGGCCTTGGAACACCCAAACCTGATCCAGCTCTTCCAGGTCATAAGACCATGGACAACATGTACCTCGTCATGGAGCGCGCACGTGGGTGGACAGCTCCGGCATCACATCCCGCGGGCTGGTGGCACAAGGGAGGCAAAGGTCTGCCGGTTGTTCAGGGAGATGGTACGTGTAGTGCAATACTGCTACCAGAAGGGCGTCGCGCACCTCAACTTGAAGCCAGAGAACTTCGTGGTGGATGCCAGGGGCCGCCATCCCAGGCTCATTGACTTTGGCCTGAGCATCCGCTTCATACCTGGGCAGAAGCTGGAAGGGTTCGGGGGCACTCTCCTGTACTGTGCCCCTGAAATCATCCAGGGGAAGGAATTTGAAGGTCCCTGGCGGATGTCTGGAGCCTGGGAGTCGCTCTGTATTTTATGCTCACAGGGAAAAGGCCATTCTGGGCGATCACTACTAAGGGGCTGGAGAAGCGGATCTTGCGGGCCAGCTACAACATCCCTCGGCACGTGTCCGAGGGGGCACGCAGCCTCATCCAGCAAATCCTGAAGGTGGACCCCATGCAGAGGCCCACCCTAGAGCAAGTAATGGGGCACCCGTGGCTGAGCCAGGGCGAGGACTCCTCACCCCGCCCTCCCAGCCAGCCACTCCCCAAGCGGCTGTACCCTGCCATCATGACCATCATTTTCGACTTGGATTTCAACCCCTATCATGCCTGGTTGTCCCTGGCAAATCGCCAGTTTGATGAGGCCATGGCTACCTACCTCGTCCTCCTCCAGCACCAGAGAATCCAGGGGTCAGCCTGTGCGCTCTGGGCAAGCCTGTGCGTGATCGGGTGGTTGGGCCTCGCCCAGGCCCTGTGGCGGATCTTCCCAGTGTCCGCCCCAACAAATGCACCAGTGAAACTGCCCTTGCCTTTCCCTGTGAGCAGCAGCACCAGAGGGGGCCAAGCCGTCAGGGAAGAAGGGTGCTGCCTGTGTTAAGCCTGCCCTTCCTCTCCACTTTCTCCACATGAAGCAGGACCCTGGGCCCCAATGGCTTGTGCAGCTCAGGCCCAACCCTCCTGGGTAGGTAGCAGAAGGCTGGGCCTCCCAGGGTAGCTCCGCAGGGTAACCCGGTGAGAGAAGCAGGGGCTGGAGGGGGGGTCACAGGAGGATGGCCACCTACCTGCAACAACTGCTGCTGCCTGCCCTGCTTCTGCAGGCCGGCCTTCCACAACAGAGTGGCTCCGATGGCCTGAGGCCACAGACCCCCTAGGTTCCGCAACAGAGTGGCTCCAGTGAACATGTCCTCATGAGACAGACCAATGAACAGCCAGAAGACCCCAAGCTCTGAGCATCCCCATCTCATGGCACTGGCATTGGTCAGTAAGCAGACTTCAACAGCTTCAGAAGTGAGGCGCGCCAAGGGGCTCAGGCTTCTCCATGCCGATTCTAGTCAGGAGAGCATCAGGATCCACCAGACTCTCCTCTGCCCCCACCTGCCAGACATCAGAGACTCTTCTCCCTCAGACACTTCCCCCTGCCCTGCTCTTCTCTGCCATAGCAGAGATGGTTCTCAATTTCTGTTTCTCACAAATTGTCTGATAAGAGCGACGTCCCAATGATTTATTTAACAAACATGTTTAAAATAGGAGGAAAAAGACAAAAATAGGGAAGCCTCAGGGCAAGGGCAGGAGTTCAGCAGCCATCCTGTCCGAGGTCTGGACTGAGGTGACTCCCTCTCCTGTTCAGTGTAAATAGAGACTCCTGCCACTTGAGCACAATGGGACTCAAACACCTTGGGCCAGTGTAGATGGGGACTCTCTTGCCTGGCGTCTGTTTAAGCTAATCACTTTGGCCACAAAGAATTCCTCTTCCAGTCTTCAGGCCCCTCCCTGAGGGGTGTGGAGAGTCATGGAGAGTGAGCAAAAGGGGACTGCAGATCTTAAACTGTCTCACAGATGCTTCTTACATAAAATCAAATGTGCCCATGTTGAATTGCTCTTTTGGTTCTAGGGACACTGGGTTTTCTAAGCTGATGCACACAGAAATACACAGTAAACAACCCTCAGAACCACGGATTGGGTGGATGGATGATTGGATCAATGCAAGTCCACAACTCAGAGGTGCTTATGGTTAGCAGTCCAAAACCCCAGAAATGACAACCGTCTTCACAGTCTCTGAATAGAAACAGGCCTCTGTGCACTCCTTGAGAGCAAGGTGGCAGGCACTGAAAGCCACCATGCATAGGTTGCCCAGGAAGTCCAGGTACTTGAAGATCAATCAACAGAATTTGCTCAAAGCAAACAGAGGAAAGTTTCTTGTTGTTGCTTTTGCTGTTATTATTATTTTTTTTTTAAATTTTTTTTTAGAGAGAGAGAGTTTTAATATTTTTTAGTTTTCGGCAGACACAACATCTTTATTTGTATGTGGTACTGAGGATTGAACCCGGGCCGCACGCATGCCAGGTGAGCGCGCTACCTCTTGAGCCACATCCCCAGCCCTGTTATTTTTAATGAATAGAAGTTTAGGGACCTATGAGATGATCTAGCATTAATGTCATCAGAGATCCAAAGTGAAAGGAAAGCTTATGGCACAGAAAAAAATTACAGCTCAATTTTCCAAATGTGGTGAAAGACATGAACCTACAGACTTAAACAGCTTACAACCCTCAGTAGGAGAAACCCAAAGTCCATGCCCAGACACATTGAGAGCTCTTACAAAACACTTGAAGTTAGGAAGAAAAACACTTGAAGTCTTCCAGAAGAAAATGATAGCTTATTGACAGACATGGAACCATTTAAACAACTGTAGAATTATCAGAAATAATGTAAGAAGGCAGTGAAGCAACATTTTTAAAGTGCCCAAAGGAAAAACATAGGCAAATAAAAATGTTTTATGTAGAAAAAAATCTTCAGAAAGACAAAATAAATATATCTTCATATAAAGAAAGTTAAGAGCCAGGAGACTTGTTAAAATTATTTGTTGGTCCTTCAGACAGAAAGTGATACTAGAAGGAACCTTGGGCATCAAGGATAAAGAGAAAGCAACAAAGTAACAAATATGTGGGTAAATACAAGAGGCCATTTTTTTCTGAGTTCTTTGAGATACATTTTGGCTACTAAAAGGAAAAATGGAGAAAATATCTGGAACTGAACAAAAATTAAAATACAACATATCAAAATTTGTGGATAATACCAGGTGCAGTATAGCCCATGTCTGTAATCCTAGAGGCTTGGGGGACTGAGGCAGGAGGATTGCAAGTTCAATGTCAGCCTTAACAATTTACTGAGGATTTCAACATCTCAGAGAGCTATCTCTACATAAGATATTTTTTAAAAAAAGTTCTGGGGATGTTGCTCAGTGGTTAATGCCCCCAGAGAGATCCACATCCTAATCCCCAGAGCCTGTTAATATGTTGTCTTATATGATAAAATAGACTTTTCAGATGTGATTAAGTTATAAAGATCTTTACATAGGAAAATTATTGTCTTGGTTGTTTTTTCTGTTGTAACAATACCTGAGACAGGATAATTTATAATGAACAGAAATTTATTGCTGAGTCTTGGAGGCTGAAAATTCCAAGATTAAGGTCCTGGCATATGATGCATCACCACCGGGCATGCAAAGTAAAAATGGAAAGGCCCACTCTCAAAAGGTCCTTTTTAAAAGTCTTTAAATCCTGAGGGTGCAGCCTTATGGTCTTACCATGTCTTAATGTCTCTGCCTCCTGATCCCACTATATTGCTAATTAAATTTCAACATGAATTCTGGAGAGGACAAAAATTCAAACTATAGCAAATATCCTGGATTATCTAGGTAGGCCCAGTGGAATCACAAGTATCATTATAAGAGGAAGGCAAGAGGGTTAACAAAAAATAAATAAATAAAAAAGGTGAGATGTGATACAGAAGTAAATGTTGGATGTTTTGCTTTGAAGACAAAGGAAGGGGATCCCCAGCCAAGGAATGCGGACAGCCTGTAGAAGCTGGAAAAAGAAGGAATTATCCAGAGTTTCCAGAGGGAATGTATCTCTGTGGACACATTGACTTTAGCTCCATGGGACTCATTATGAACTTTAAATCTCTAGAAGTATAAGATAATAATTTTTTGATCTTTTCAACCACTTAATTTGTGGTGATTTGTTATAATAGACACAGGGGTAGAATATAGAGGCCTGCCAACCAGTTCCATGCTGCAGCACTATTGAAAGGGAGGGAGAGACTTTTACATAGTGTTTGAAT